TTCCATGGGTGCCCACCTTCTGTTACCCTTTAATACACAAGGTCTGGCTGTTTCCCTCTGATGATACAAAAGAGGATGCAGGGCTGTTAAACAAAAGAACAAAATGAACTGAAAAGCCCATTCTTCTCTACCTACGAGTTTGCACCTTTCTGACTCACATTCTGTCTTCTCCCTTGCCACCCCCCCCCCCCCCAACTACCCTTAAGTGCGCTTTAACTGCTGGAAGAGGAAAAATCCATGTTGGATCCCACAAGCTGGGCACTGTCTGACATCTTCACATCAGGAAACTGTCAGTGACTGCTATTGCTTGCTGATGTTTGATCCCAGACCTCCCACACATGGCATGATACAGGCAAGGAGGCTCAGTGCCTTGGAGGCCAAAATGGTAAGAAATACAAATTCCTGATGAGAACACAGGAGATGTGAGTCAGACATGAGCAAGACCCAAATTACTGTGCACGACACACCATCTGAGCAATAGCTGCTTCACAATGGCCAGAGAGTCACTACAGCTTTTGTATTAAAACAACTAACACCTCCATTTTCCAGGATCCAGAGTAATATTGTGCTATCCAATAATTTGCATTCTGGCCTTGGTAAAAATCACCATTATTTTTGTTGTCTATAGCCTTGAAAACTGGCATACTTCTCAAAAATATTCACTTGTGGTTTCAATTAGTGAAACAATCCTACTTTCTGCTTAACACGTCAAGTTTCACTTTGAAATCTCATAATGATCATCAGTGTATCTTGCTGAATGTGTAGGAAAACTGAGGCAGCACCTCTGCTTTTCACACTCTGAACACACACAACCTCCACTTCAGCCTCTGAAGAATGCTGCTTGTTTGCCTGTACACAGTAGAGACACAGAGGTCTTTGCACAGATTGAATTTAGACATTTACAACACCTGTTCCCTTCTCTAGGGATACTCATAGGTGGCTTTACCTGTGGCAGCAGGATGGACAAGTCCCTTGTTTATACTACATTGAATGAGTTGCCTTTACTCTTTCAGTAACTCCATTTGAGACATGACTAGACTTCATAATATGTCAAAAAGAAACTATGGAATGAAATCACCACAGTACCATATGACACACTTTGCCTAGGCACAGCTAGAGTAAGTTAAATTCACTATTGCAGCTGCCAGAGTGAATTTGTTTGCTTTTATTGGATATGACTCAGCTTTAATATTTTCCTAAGACAGTTCTTGCTAATTCTGTGGACAAAGAAGTAATATTAGTAACACAGAAGAGTTGGTCGGTTCCTTCCAACCAGCCTAATAATCCTATTGTAGGTATAAAAGGAGGCAAAACAGGAGTCAGACCATCTAAATTTTCTTCTTTAGAATGGAATACCCCTAATCTTTCTGCCCTGGACAGATTTTCTCATTAGTGAGAGAAAGCACTGTTCAGGGAGTAGTGTACAAAAGCTGAAAGTACTGAGTTCCTATCCTAGACTGGAATATTCCCTGTGGTGAAATTCAGTAGCTCCTCCTGCAGCTTCAGTTTGTTGGATCACGAAATATGGATAACTGTTTCCCTACAACACATATGCAGAAAGGCCTTACCAAACTTTCAGTAAAGTAACTGGCGGCTCTATGTTGAGAATATGAATGCAAAATTAGATGCTGCTAATTTATACATGTTCCTGCTAATCAGAGGTGGAATTATCACCAATCCCAAAATAATCAGTCTTGCACTAGTGGAAGAAGATTCCTGAAGCTTCTGGATTGAAATGGGAAAGAAAGAAAGAGGAAAGGAGAAGAAAGGATGGATCTGCCCCTAGACGTCACTTGTACAGATGACCTTAATTCTCACATCTGCTAACCTCATATTCATGTGACATTGCACATCAGCAATGTGAGTGTCTTCTTGTGAATAGGAGTCTTATTTATTGCTGCTGGTTTTCTTTTCCTTTAAGAAACAAAGCTCTGTTACTGCTGCTGGTATTATTGGTCTGCTCTCTCCATTTTGTTACAGCTTTGAACTAAATCCAATCACCACTTCTTCCTTGTGAAGTGATACACAGCACTGTGCTTTGATTCACAGGACTGCAAAGCATCATTTGGTCCTTTTTAGCTACAGCCATACAAAACAACAGGAGCTGCCTTTGCCACAACTAGTGGGTTCTGTAGATGTCTCAAAACAAGCCATTAATGAAATATCTGTGACATTATACATTTGTGATACCATTTCAAGCATGAGTGTTTCCATTTCTGTATGCTAACCCCTATTCCCACCTCCCACAACTTCACATCAGTCCCTGACACTACCACTCCCATCCTGAGGGGCTGTGTGTGAGCTGGGTATGTCTATTAGGCAGAGTTAATTCCTTTCAAGATCCTTGTGTGCATGGCTGTGACTGACAGAGACGAGTGCTGTTTCCAAGTGTCAGTGGAGCATGACCTCGAGTTAATACACAGAATGATGAAAGAGAAAGATTCATTCAGCATGTGAACGTTATGCTGAGATTAGCCAGAAGTACTGAGCACATACAAATTGCTGTTTTGTCAGCACAGCGCTTGGCGGAGTTTTTAAATATTCCAGCTATTCTAAGCCATCATCCTCAAGGCTTGGGCAACTAAAAAAAGAGGAGAATCAAAATAGCATTTCCAATCCAAATGCCATTGTTTTAGATAAGAGTTTTGGACCTGGATGCTTCAAGCAATACATGACCTCCTGACAGCTGCAGCCCTTCGTTTGATGTGAAAGGACTTGCAGTTAACATGCACAGAACTGTTTGTAAACCTCAGAGAAGGGACCACAAAGGTATGTAGCCTTTGAGTTGGAGATGTCAGTTTAACTCCAGCCTAGCCAGAAGCAATTGGAAGTTACAAGGACCTCCACAGTCTGTCTGTCTGCTTCAGCTAATTGCTCTCATTTCAGTTGCCTCTGGACATAAGCTTGTGTTCCAGATGCCATCTCTACATCTGGTGCTAGCAGAGCAGCCAGGGGCCACACAGGCCATGGTAGGTGACCTCTCACGCAAGCAGTTCTGTCTGGAGCTAAGTCTCTGTCTGTCTGGAGGCACTGCCTGCATTAGAGTTCAGGAGTAAATCTTACCTGTAGTTGGCTAAAACTTTAGAAGGCTGGGGAAAATCCCAGGAGAATAACACTGATACATTTTGTGATTTCTCCCCAGCTATATAGTTGGTCCTTTTTTAGAATTTAAAAAACAACAGAATTATTAGAGGGATTGGAAGAAATACCATTCCACTCCTTCCTCTGACTCTCACTAGTTCTAGCAGTAACTATCACCAGAGGCAGGATTGCAGAGAAAATATCGAATATCTTTCTGTCTGTGCTTCCTATTGTTGACTTTGGCAACTACATCCATTTTGGGTCAGATTCTATCATACACTGCTGCTTTGAAAGCAGCAGACATTTGGGGCAGACAATAAATGCAGAATTTAGAGTATAATAACTTCAGTAATTTCAGTGCAAAGCATCCTCTGTTCACCTCTCCTCATTCACTGCCTATCTCCTTCATGCATGGTTCTTTTGCCTTTGTACCTGATCCTGTGCTCAAAAACCTCTACATCATCTGTTCCTCTTGCAGTCATAACTGAATAAGCTGCTTCTATTTCCACTGTCACCTATCAGTTAATCTGAATCCTTTAAAATAGCAAGATCCAAAGTTTTCCTGTCTTAAAGCTGATCAAACCCTAAGACAATGCTTGCTACCTTTTTCTCTTGCCTCTCTTCTACCTTCCCTTTCTGCAGCTGCCTCAGGGAAAAAGACATACAAAAATCTGCTTCAGAGCACAGTAAACACTTCCTTTTGTGGAGGCAGCAATATCTATCCTGAGGCTGCTGCAGCCCATTAAACCTAACACACAGATTTCAGGGCTTCTTTCTGTTAATAAACTTTGCTTTTTTGTTTCTAGCCAGCAGCAGTAGCTCTTAAGAAAAAGACAGATTTTGCTGAAGCCTATTGCTTATTTAAGAGTCATTTCACAAGCAGATACAGTTTAGACTACCAAATTATTGGCAACACTTCCGTACAACATCTGTTTCTCCCTCAGCAGCCCCATCATGTGCTGACCCAGCCCAGAGCTGTTTAGTCTAAAAGACATTGACTGCAGCTCAAGCTGATAGAAAAGAGTACTGCAGCTGATATTGGCCAGTCTGTCATTCCCTATTTGCTTTTCCTCTCTTTGTTCAAGTGGTCTGCCCTCTCACATGTTTTTTCTCTGTTTTTTTATGTGGGTCACTTACCCTGCTAAGCAGTAACCAAGGAAAGGACATCTGTATTAACAGTTATGCAGAGTTATATACTACATATTTACATATTACTACTTGGCAAGCACTTGTTCTGATGATGTGCTTTCATTTACTTGATGTTGTGAGCAAAAGCCCGTGTCATTTGTTTGCAAGCACATACATACACAGAAGGCTCGTGATTGCTGCTGAAGGGGTGGGTTGGTTGAACTGCCAGTGACCAGTGGAGTTAAGTCGGCAGTACAAAACTATAATTAAAAGACAGAAAGACAGGCAGCATTTCCTAGGGAGCTCTGCATCTTGCAGGGGAGCCTCTTAACAGCCTTGCCAATGCTGGAAGTGCTGTGCAGGCCGTTGCTACTAAACGGTGCAAATGGGAGAACAGCAGCAATCTTTCCATCTTTCCACAGTGTCAAGACGAAAATACATAGAGCCTGAGCTAGAGACCTGGTAAACTAGACTTGCTCTGCCACCTCCTGGTTAATTCCGAGCAGATACCAACTGGATTTGACATGTTAAACAGCCTACTTTGTATCTTACTTTCTTTCGAGTCATGGGGCTGATCACTGAGATGACCAAGCTTTAACCTAGCCCTGGAAAGAATATGCACAATGAATGAAGACACAGACAACACCTCTTGGACCTTACATAGGAGAGAAAAGCTTCACTGTGACCTTACACTGCACTCTAAACACATTCCAAAATACAGTGAAAACATCATTTGAATTCTTTCTATGCCTGCTTACCATACAAATGTTTTCCATTAGAGGAGTTCTCACCTTAGAGGGGAGGGAGATCACTGCCTCTAGTAGTATCCCTGATGCTGTAGTTGTCAAGACTTTGTCCTCCCAGCTGTTCAGGAATTCCCTGCTTTACTGCTCTGTGGAAAGGAAGTTCTGTAAGCATACAAAAAAGGACTATATACTGGTTTGCTTTGTAACATGGGACTATAATATAGAAAAAAGCCTCTAACTTAATATTCTTCCTCCTTTCCTAGCTTGCAATGTCTAGCAATATTTCCTGCTAATGCTAGTGCAGGGATGGAGATACTGACTTCCATCTCTGTACAGAATTCTGACTTTAGTGCTCCATAAACTACTCCAAGAGAATAATAATAATATGATGTCATGATTTATAAGCACAATATAGTTTTTTACATTTTAATACAGTTTCAGGTAATATTTGCTTTCACAATTTCCTTCTACTTGAACTTCTCAATAAAAAGTCATAGAAAATCTCAAGGAGATTGTAAGCCTAAGGACATATAACCTTTGGCAATACAAGTTCACAGGTGAAGAGGGAATGTGGGTTTTGAGCTCTTGTTGCTCCAAGTCTGCCCTTCAGTCATCAGTTTACAGCCTCCCCCCCCCCTTTATTCCATATTAATTAAGGACTCTGATAGCCCACGGGGTGGCATTACCCTTTAGAAGGACTTTTCACAACATGCAAACCTAGACCAAAGCAGCAGTGGCTGCATTTGAAACACACATTATTTTTGCTCTGCAGCTGAGTAACAGCAAGTTCACCTGGCAGGAGCACATTCTTTCCTAGATTTTACATGTGTCTGAAGAAGTGATGTATTTTTAATGAGATTTATTTTCATAACAGGAATTGCATTGACAATCTGCATTAAAGATAAGCTAAACGAGCTGTTTAAGAGCTGAACTAGCTTTCTCACATTTGTTTCCTTTAATTAACCCATATAGTATGTTAATTTTAGATGAAGCCCTGCCTTATACCATCTAAGGGATCAAAGTCAGCCTTCCGTAGACTCTGTGATCACCTCATTTTTCTCCTGTCTGTTAACCCTTTGAAGACATAGCTCAGAGAGAAAAATTAAGGGGGCATTTCGCTTTAATGTTCTACCACATAAATACAGTAGCTTTTTGTTTCTATTTTGTCTCAAGTGAAATGGCAAATGTTAAAATTTTCAGATGGACAGAAATTTGTATGTCCAGACAAATTTACTTTAGGTACCCAGTAATTTATTAGAATTATCAAGCCACTTGCCATGTTAATAGAAAATAAATGATATTATACAAAACCCTAGTGACCTCCAAATGGAACTGAAACCTTTTAGGTCCCTAGTACAGATCTCTACCACATGTGCTAATGAGTAATTGGTAGCACTAGACATCTGTTATCATCCATAGGGATCAGTTGCATGAAAGTGAAATTCAATCAACAATCTTGAGGTTTGTAGGATACAACTTCATCACCAGATAATACAGGTATCTGCCAGCAAACAAACGTGGAGACTATAGAAAGACTTGGATTTTTTCAATGCTGGCTGAGACACTACAGACATAGGTCTGTATAAACACTGGTTCTGCCTTCTCACTGCTTATTCTCCTTCCTCACAGCTCCTTATTTCCTGTAATACTAAGTCCTAGCGCAGTGTCCTGCCCTTTTTACCTGGTTTACCTTCCTGCTCCACACCCCTCACCCTGCAGTGCTCTGCTCACCACAGGAGAAGCTGCCAGCTATGGGTTGCAGCATGGAGCTGCTCACAGGCAGATGAGCTGGCAGGGAGAAGCTGGAGGATGCCCACTGCAGATGTCTCCAGCCAGGAATTTAGCTGCCAAATTCTAACAAGCTTCTGCTGAGGGTGTCCAAATAAAAATTAGTCAGAGTTTATGATTTGGCCGAAACGGGTCTTCCTGGAGACAGTGAAACAGTCTTACTTGATACTAAAAATGCCTTTTTCTATAAATCCTGGAAGAAGTAAGAGTTCCAAGTCAGAGTATTGTAAGGTTTTTGACCAGTTCAACATATTTGCCATACCCTCATTTTATGTATGGTTGTGTGTGTATGGTTGAACAGTTTTAGCTAAAATTTTCCAAAGTCCAGCTGACATGAGCTATGGAGAAAGGGTGTCTAGAAAGTGTTATAGAACATTTCAGATACCTCTGCAAGATCTGCCTTCTATCACAGTACCATAGAGCCTAATCACATCTCATCGCAGCAATGGAAACGTTCTCCTTACCCTCAGTCCCAGACCATGAAGCACAGGAGAGTCATCTCAAACCTCTTTATCAACTCCAACAGTCACACCAGAAAACAATTAAGGAACAAAGCATAATATACACCTTACCCAAAGGATGTAAAGTCTAGGCCTGGACACAGACTTGGAACAGGGAGTCCCTCTGCTGTTAAAGTGCACACACAGCCTGGCACATGTGTGGTCTGGGTCAGCTAACCCTCTTCCAGACAATGCCTGTGCATGGTTTGGGAGCTGACAAAGGCTACAGATGATTCCTAATTGGCAGTCTGGGTGCAGATACCTTGTTTTGGAGACTGCGTGAGTTTAACTCCTTGCCAGGAGTTTACTAGTTTGTTTACTACCTTGCTTGTTTACTAGTAGTTTGCTTCTTACCTTGCCAGTGTGTTTACTAGCAGAGAGATGTTCATACAAGCTCATAACTCCAAAAAACAACTGTGAATAGCCAGGGAGATGGTGTGACTGTAGCTTACTCCCCACTTACTTCCCCCTCCATTTATCATCAAAGAAATAGGCCAGTGGTACTCAGGTTGTTAAACTTGCCAAGTAAGGCAGTTAAACCACCTATCTGGGACAAGAATTTCTAAAATTACAGCAAAAGAATCAGGAGGAAGGTCATTCTTATACCCATAGCAACAGACTAAAAAGATAGCATATCAAGCACATTTTGGCAGGAGATGAAGCCATGGATCATTACTTGGATGATTCAATAAATGTCATTAACTCTGTATTTTTTCTCACTTTAGGACCTCTTAGCAAAATGCTAAGAACTATTTATGAGGAAAAGGTTACAGAAGCTGACAGACAGGAGCAGATAAGGTCACAAGAGCTTGAACTTGAGGAGCATTATCTGCCAAATTAAAGAAGAAAAAAAAAAGAGCTTTTGGAGCTAGCAAGGAAAGATCAAAAAGAACTAACATGGAAAAGTAACAACTACAAAGGTAAGAATGACAGAAGATGGTTTAAATTGTGTGCAAGAGACCAAGCATCGTAATAGGAGCAACAGTTAGAAACAGGAACATTCTACAATGATCCAAAACACAGGGAAAGTGCACACAGAACATCAAGGAACCTTTACAAATACATAGAGAATCATATATATAGGAGAGAAGTGAAGAAAACACTTAAAACAGTGTCATGAAGAAATTAATTAAGATCAGTGAGTTCCAGACCAGAGGGAAACTTTAAAGCTAGATTTTGAAAAGCAAATACGATTTAGTCCATCATCCTTCCTCTGAATCCAGTGACACAAGTGGTGCTGAGGCCTTGTGAACCTGTAAAGAGGAAGATAAACAAACCTATCCCTGATGATATTTTAAAGCAGATGACTAAGGAGGAAGGAAAAAGCCTATCACTTCTCTGGCACCATCAGTCACAAACTAGCCAGGCCTACCTCAAGGCTGCAAAACTTGGGGAATCTGACAAGCACAGAAAAATAGACCAAATAGTTCTTTTGACAAATACTGCGGTCCTTTGCAAGTAGGGGAGTTTTGAGGCCTACTGCAGAAGGAATAGTATTAGCAAAATTGGATGAGTGGGAAGAAAAGTGTTCAACAAAGAAATATGCTGTTCTGAGAATAGAAGGAAAACCATATTCAGGTGTTTAGGTCATTCAGTTAAGTCAGCTGTGTGCATTAACCTTGCAGGGAGGTGATGTGAGCCTGCAGCCACCTCCAAGAACTGATACTGTGCTGAAATGCAAATCTTGAAGAGCAATTATGCAAAAGCTCTTACTAGACAAGTTTTGGGGGGGGACACCTTAAAAATAAATTGTAAAGAACAGAGTGGCCAGAAATGAGGCAGCACTGTGTGGAATATCAATTGCTATGCCAGGGGAAGAAACGAAAGGAATGTGCTATGACCCTGCTGTGAAACACTTGAGTTACCCAAAGCATGAAGTGAGAGTAGAGAGCACTGTAAACCACCCGCATATGCATCCAGCCCTTTGTACAGCAAAAGAGAAAACCTGGGCAATACAGATGCATGCTCCAGGCCTGGGAGAACACCCTTGCCTGCAAGACAGAGCAGGGTTACTTCCAGAGCATGTCTTGGAGTTTCAATCTCACAGCTACACAGCTTACTATTAAAACCAAATGGGGCATCCTGCCTCCCTGATTTGGCTTAGGAATAAAGAGAAATCTCTCTCTTCAGACCTCTTTAGTAAATCCGGATTAGATGAAGTGAACTCCTAGGTACAGGCAGAGGGCTTTTGTGGAGTTCTGCACATACAGAAAACTGAGACCCAAACCCTCTCGTAACATGCAGGCAGTGACTGATCAGCTTCCTGACACTTTTTTCCTCAGGATAAAATAAGCATGCTTGTTTGTTAAGTCCTACAGCAGTGTGACTTCTTGTAATGACCAAACAACCTCAGATTCCTTTCTACACCTTGATCTACCCAAAGGAGAATTACAACCTTTACAATTGCCTCATTTCCACAATTTACATGGACCAATTTTTGGAGTAGATAAGTGCACTCAAAAGATGCTGCAATGTAAGCCATTTGGCCATTATCCCTGACAGAAGACAGAAATAGAGATCAGTGAGCCCCTTCCTTTCACCTATGCTCAATATTCCCCATGTTCAAGCTCAAGGAGTGGTGGTCTGATGAGCTCCCAGCACCAATATTAACAGCAGCCAGGACAACAATATCAGCTCAGCTGCTTTCTGGCCTAAAGAATTAATAAATCAAGAGAAAAGAGCAACAGCCTTGTCTCTGACCAATTGCTGCTGGTTTAGAAGATGGTCCCTTTAGACAGGGTGACATGACAATTCTGACAGGCTGCCTGTGATCCCAGCCTATGCTCTATGTGTTTCAAAAGCATCATTCAAACTTGTTTTCAGAGTTTCAGCCATGCAGCCTCTCTGCAGTAATGCACTAGTAAGGGGAGAGTG